TATATTATGCAGCTAAACCAAATATTTAGGTTAAGAGAATTAGCTTTGCAAATGGCTTCGAAATAGAAGGTGAGGAGCACTGCTTGAAGTAAAAACTTTAAACTTTTTTGTATAATCTCGTATGCAGTCGACAGCTAAAGCTATTTCACAATATAAAACAAAAAAGATTTTGACTCATAATTCCCGCGTTAAACGCAATTGATAAATTAGGGTCTGTACCAGATCGTAATGCAATGTCCCACATCCTAATTAATCATGGCACCTTATAAAGATCTAGAAGTTTGCCCAGTAAGTGCAGACTTCTAGGATTCATAAGATGCTTTCATATGTGCAAGGCCTATGATTGAACTGTGCTATACATATCCAGTGGCGATCGCAGAAAATTATGTCGGAAAGAACGCGGAAGAAAATCTTTTAAAAAAAAGGGCGTAAAAAATAAGACCAAGCGATGCCTCTTTTGCCCAAAGTTTTGTAAAATTTTCTATAAGAATGGTACCGATTTCTGACAATAACAAGTAACGTCCTCCTACTACTTTTGATTTATTTGTATTTCGTTGGATTTTCGCGATACAGTTTCGGAGAGGCGCCTTCTTTCCTCCCTCCCACATCACCTGGTCGTAGGCGAGTACAATGCAGTTCTTCTTTCTCATAATTTTCTATTGCTTAAATCCATTTAGTGGTCTGAATGCGTCAAAAGTAGAGATTTTGCAGGACAGAGTATGTGCAGAATTTCGAAATTTCTCCTTTCAAATTACATTTTAGTTATTGGCAGAATTTGTGAAATATCTTCTACCTGCAAGAATGACGTTATTAAAGCTGCAACACCCGCTGCACCCAGCCATATGATATAGGACGTGACTTCATCGCTGAATTTGTCGTTTCCCATCTTCTAAAGATTTCGGCAATAACTTGGATTATTTCTAAAATACATGAACAAAGCACCTCCTCAGGTCGAAGATAGAGACTAGTGATCCAGCCGCCCAATATCAGAACAAATGGCTGGATAGCGCCACTTAGAAGAGCACAAATAGCTCCTATGGTAAGAAAACACTTGTCACGCGTAGTAGCAAATCGAAACTAAAATGCAATAGTAAGAAGAAAAGATTCTACGAAGCATCAAGTATTTTACCAATTCTTTGATGGAGATTGGCTCGACTTCCCGTTTCCCTGTAGATTCTAAATCGCCTCTGGAATACACAAACATATTTAGATCAACAATTTCGTTTAATATTCCGGCTTCAACAGACGGCATATTCTCTCTATTTACGGAACACTTGCAGTTAAGGTATTAGTAAACCCTATTTTAGACCAAGTTTGTTCAATTTCGACTGAGATTTTCCCAAGTAATCACGATCAAGATATTGAATGGATGAGTCTTAGTTTACAGAAAGATCTAAGAACTTTTTCAGTAACTTTTCAAAGATGAAGTTTAGGAAACCAATCAGTCGACCAACTTCAAAAAACAGCTAAGTCGAGAAGAAACTTGTCTCCTCAATAGAAATGTTACTATCCTTCCATTTTTATCTAATAGTCTTTTTTGTAGTAAAAACTGAAGGGCAGACTTTCTGGGCAAACCTGCATAGTACTATGTCCAGAATCAGCCCAATCATGCTCTTTGATGTATGCTTCTCATTTCCTTCATTCTTCTCGCCAGCATATATTTTAACCATTTTAGAAAAGCTCCAGTGTCCAGATTGATTCGTGCAAAATGCCTTGAAAATAATAATTTAATTACTTTAATTACGATGTGTGTTTTAAGGAAGTGCACTTAAAAACAAATTCAGAGCTTTTGTACTTCTGCGAGCAAAAACAAGCAAACAAATGTATGCTCCATATTCTGTGAAAAAAAAAATGACGAGACGACTACTAGAATTAAGCCAAACAAATAAAAATTTCTAGAAAATTGCGGTATTGCTAGAGTTGAGTCTAACAGCGGATTTTATAGCGCAAACATTGGCAAGAAGCATAATTAGTGAGGATGAGCTGCCGTATGTTACTGAATATGTATATGCGATTTACTTTGATCGTCACACAGCATCTATC